TTGTTCATGGATTGGAAGCATTAACATCATTAAAATGTCCATATTACCCAAAGCAATCTAGAGATTCAATGCAATCCCCATCAAAATACCAGCAACATACTTCACAGAACTAGAACAAATACTTCAAAAGTTCATATGGAACCAAAAAAAAAAAAAAGACCCCAAATAGCCACAGCAATCTTGAAAAAGAACAAAGTTGGAGGGATCACATTACCAGATTTTTGGTTATACTACAAAGCCACTGTAATTAATTATTATTATTATTACTGCTTCAATTTTACTAGTTGTGATCTGTCTATTTGGGTTTTCTTATACTTCTTGATTTAGTTTTAGAAGATTGTATGTTTCTAGAAATTTATCCATTTTGTCCAGATTGTTCAATTTGTTGGCATATACTTGTTATTCGTATTTTCTTACAACCCTTTGTATTTTTTTGTATCAATTGTTACATCTGTTATTTCATTTCCACTTTTATTTATTTGGATCTGTTCTCTCTTTTTCTTGCCGAGTCTGGTTAAAGGTTTACTAATGTTGTTTACCTTTTCAAAGAGCCAGCTCTTGGTCTCATTGATCTTTTTAATTTTTTAGACTCAATTTTGTTTATTTCTACTCTGATATTTATTATTTCCTTCCTGCTGCTCACTTAGGGCTTTGCTTGTTTTTTTTTGTTTTTGTTTTTGTTTTTTTTCATGCTTCTTTAAGTATAAAGTTAGATTATTTAAGCTTTTCTTCTTTTCTGAGATAGATCTTCAATGTTATTAATTTCCCTCTTAGGACTACTTTTCCTGCATCCCACAGAATTTGGGTTGTTGTGTTCTTATTTTAATTTGTTTCAAGGTATCTTGATTTTGTCCCTTGATTTAACCCTTTCACTGTTTAGTAACATGTTATTTAGCCTCCATGGCTTTGTGTGTTTTACAATTTTTTTCTTGTGATTGATTTCAAGCTTCATAGCATTACTGGTCAGAGAAGATGCTTGAAATTATTTAATACTTCTTAAATGTATTGATACTTGTTTTGTGCCCCAACATGTGGTCAATCCTAGTAAATGTTCCATGGACACTTGAAAAGAATATATATTCTGCAATTTTGGGGTAAAATATCCTGACGATATCAATTAAATCCATTTGATGTAGTTTGATATAAGGTCGCCATATTCTTGTTGATTTTCTGTCTGGAAGATCTGTCCATTGATGTCAAAGGGGTATTAAAATCTCCTACTGTAACTGTATTACACTCAATCTCTCCCTTTATTTCCATAAAGATTTGCTTTACATATTTAGGTGCTCCTATGTCAGCTGCATAAAAATTTACAAGGTTTATGTCATCTTGTTGGATTGCTCCCTTTATCATTATGTATTGTCCTTCTTTGTTTCTTACCATAGCCTTAAAGTCTATTTTGTCAGATATAAATATTGCCATCCAGTTTTTTTCCCATTTCCAATAGCATAAAATATCTTTTACCATCCCTTTAATTTTAGTCTGTGTGTATCTTTTGTTCTGATGGGGGTCTCTTGAAGACAACATATACATTGGTCTTGTTTTCTTATCTATTTAGGCACCTATGTCTTTTGATTGGAGCATTTAAGCCATTTACATGCAAAGTGGTCATTTATACGTACATATTTCTTGCTGTTTTATTTTCTTAATTATGTTATTCTGTTACTTTTTCTTTTTCTTTTTTCTTCTTCTCCTTCTTCTTTTTTTTTTTTTTTTTTTTTTTGTCCACACCCGAGGACATTTTTCCATTTTTTGTTCAGATAGAGTGGGAGAGGGAGAGAGAGAGAGAGAGAGAGAGAGAGAGAGAGAGAGAGAGAGAGAGAGAAACATCGATGTGAAAGGGACACATCGAGTGGCTGCCACCTGCACGACCCAACCAGGGCCGGGGACAAACTGCAACCGAGGTACAAGCCCTTAGCGGGAACCGAACCCGGGTCTCTCTGGACCGCAGGCCGACACTCTAACCACTGAGCCAAACCGGCCAGGGCCTTCTTCTTTTTCTTCAAGTAAGCCTTTAACATTTCTTGTAACACTCATTTGGTAGTAACAAACTCCTTTATCTTTCTCTTGTCTGGAAATCTCATTATTTCTCCCCCAGTTTTAGATGATAGCCTTGTTGGGTAGTAGCCTTGGTTGTAGGTCCTTGCTTTTTGTCATTTTTACTATTTTACACCAATCTTTTCTGGTCTGAAATGTTTTTGTTGAGAAATCAGCTGAAAGTCTGGTGGGAAATCCCTTGTAACTTACTGCCTCTATCTTGTGACTTTTAAGATTCTCTCTTTGTCTTTAACTCTTTCCATTTTAAATATGATGTGTTTTGTCGTGGGCCTCTTTGGGTTCATCCAATTTGGGGTTCTGTGCACTTTCTAGACTTGTATGTCTTTATTTACCAGGTTAGGGATGTTTTCAGTCATATTTTACTGCTCTAATTAGGTGTTTTTTCTACCTTGTCTTCCAAATAACTGATCCAATCCACTGCTACATTGAGCCTACTGTTTATTCCTTCCAGTATATTCTTTATTTTGGATATAGTATTCTTCATTTCTGACTAGTCCTTTTTCATGATGTTGAGCATCCTTATAAGTATTACTCTGAACTCTATATTTGATAAATTGCTTGCCTTCATTTCAATTATTTTTTCTGGAGAATTCTCTTGTTCTTTCCTTTGGGGTCTGTTTCTTTGTTTCCCCATTTTGATTGCCTCTTTGTTTTTGTTTCTATGCATTAAGTGGATCTGTTATGACTCCCAGTCTTGGTAAAGTGGCTTTATATAATAGGTGACCTGTAGAATCCAGTGGCACAGTCTCCCTGATTACCTGAGTTGGGTGCTCTAAGAATGTCCCTTGTGTGATTCATGTGGACCCTCCTATTGTAATTGACTCTTGATTGCTTTTGGCACATTTCCGTGTGGGATGGCCCCTCAGGCTGGCTAACAATAAGGCTCAATACCCAACAGAGTGTTCAAGCTGCTGTGCAGGTGCTGATCACACAAAGTGCAATTTGCCTCAGCAATGATTGGTGACTGCTGAGATCCCCCTGTGGATATGCTGCTTGTGAAACTTATTGGATCCTGCTCTGTTGTCTGGAGTTAGCCACTGGATGCATTGGTTCTGGGACTCTTTGAAGTGACTCTGGTGCAGGACAATGTCAGACTGGTCCTAGACAACCTGTTTGAAGCTATCAGTGATCCATAGCTTGTGGCCCCCTCTACTGGGCCTGTATGCATGTAGAAAGGACCAAGCTGCACACCAAGGTCTGTGTTTACTAGCACTAGACCCAGGGGCAGGTCAGCCAAAGTCTCAAAGCAAATCTATCCTTGCCTGCAAACTATCTCATAAGGTAAATCACTTAAATAGCTTTTGGCTCTACTCCTCAGCAGGGCTTAAGATCCATAAAGAAGGTTTTCCAAAGGGCAGGGCTATTGTTTCCCCCAAGGCTGATGCTCCAAGGAGGAGAATGCTCTGCCTGAGAAAGATGGCTTCTGCAACATGGGAGAATGTATCAGCACAGGGATCCTGGTGACTGACCTCTCAGCTCTCTTCCCAGAGCCTTCAACCCTAGATTAGCCTCCTCACTCAGCTCTAGTCTGCTCTGGCCTCCCTCTACCAGACCCTGGGATGAGTGACTGCAAATGAAATTTTGGCATTGGCCTGCATTTCTAGCCATCGTACCCTGATAGATAGAAACCCTGCTGCTTTTTACAGTGACATGTTATATGGGTGTCTTTCCCAGTTCTGGTGCTTTGGGCTGGGAGCCCATTTTGGAGTTTAGACCCCAGACTCCTGAGGGGGAATCCCATACAGCTGATATATCCCACCAGAACTTCAGCTGCCCCCCACAGGGGCCTGGCTATCCCTCTTACACTTCCACACTTCCTACCAGTCTCGACATGGCTCTATCTGTGAGTACTGAAAGAGTACTTGAGTATAAGACCTCCCCAGCTAGTCTTCAGTTGGTTATTCAGGATTATTTTTCTATACTTTAGTTATAATTCCAGTTTAGTCCTAGGAGGGGGTGAGTGTAGCTTCCACCTAATCTGCTGCCATCTTGGATATCCTCCCAAACCTTCCTTTTGACAACTGATTATAACTTTCCCTTAAAATTATTAAAGTAAGTACCTCTGTTTACAAAGCCCTTTGTCAGCAGTTGATTTACCTTAATGAGTTCCTTTATCCTACTTAAAACTTGGAATTAGTAATATTAGGGTCTCTATGCTACCTAAAAAATTATGACATTGCTAGGATTCAGCAGATGTTAGTATTTAAGAAAAGCCAATACAATTCATTAATAACACAGTAAAAAAAAGTTGTGGAGATTCCCAGCCAGAAAATGCAATGGAGGTGTGTTGCCCAGTATAGGGAGACACATTTCATGAAGCCTCAAGAGTTAGCTAACCTCGATGTATTCCTGCTCACCTACCTTACTTTCAGTCACAACTCAGATAGCCTTTGTATTAAATTCTAAATTTTCTGTGTCTTCAGAGGAATAAAAAGCACAAATAGTAGTACATAAAAACCAACATTCTATAAATTACTTACATTTGGCTTCAAATATTTTAAAGGCCCTTAACAAAAATATACAACTACTTCATTCTTAGCAATGTATATAACCTCTAACTGCCATAAGCAAAAGGGAAGAGTATGTTTGATGCCCTCAGGACACAGGAAAAGGTGTAAGTGGAATATAGGGAAATGAGAAAGGAAACAGGGTTGAGACCGATTATGCATGGTCCTAGTCTATCCCTGGGACCCAGCCAATGAGGACAGACTGGTATGCCCAGCTGTAGAAACACAAATGGAAAAGTTTTCTCTTGCTAATTTTCTTGATATAAACTTCCAGGGCAATCCCAGCTTTGCTGAATATACAGCATTTAGATTGACTATGAGAACTACTGTGGCTTCAACATAAATGTGTTTTTCTTTAGATGTTGAGATATTTGGACATCACTCTTCATTACCTACTAAGACCTTGTAAATCATAAATCCCTGGTATCGAGCTACCTGTCCCACTTCTTCCTCATCACTGTAGGTGTGGCCATCTCATGTTGATCCTCAGATGTTTCTTTAGGTTCTTTATTCTCAGGATTAGATACAGTTTCTTCACAGGGAGGTTCTTGTTTATTGTCTTGAGATACAACTAGAATATAGCTTATGCCAGTTGTCATTAAAGTAACAAAATCTTCAAAGTCAGGCTATAAAACAAAATGATAAACTGTTCAGAACCCTGAAATGGATACACTAACATGGCAGCTACTACCTAAGTCAAGTAGATTCTTCCCCTTCATGATCACTAGGCAAGGGAAAGGTAACCCTATAAAGCTCCTGTTAACAAACACATCTTTAAGGATAAAAGTTTGTAGCTTGCAGGGACTAATATTAAAAATAATCTAATAATTATTTTCAAAATTTAGGAAGTTTTCTAATCATCTGAAGGGCTTGTTATGTAAACACAGGTTTCTGGGGTCCAATCTCAAACTTTATGATTCAGTAGATTTAGGGTGGGGCCCACAAATTGGGTTTTCTCGAAGGCTCCCAGGTGATGCTGTTGTTGCTGGTCCAACCCTTTCCTGGGGCCAAGAGAGATGCTTTGAGTGTAGCTACAGTGTAGCTAGTTTACAAAGTTCTGTTCAGTAGAACTGTCTCTGTGGTAACAAACATGTCCTGTGCTCTCCAACATATGCAACCACATGCAGCTATTCAGCATTTGAATTGTGGCTAGTGCAACTGAGACTAAATTTTTATTTAATTTTAATTAATTGAAATTCCAGTAGACACATGTATCTAATGGCTACCATAATGGATGGTGAATTTGTAGAATCTATATCTCCTGACCCCTAAGCCACTGTACTTTCTAATATAGAGTACTGCCTTTATCATATTTCCTCAGACAAGAGAGAATTTTAAAATAGCTTGTGAGAACCTGGCCAGTGTGGCTCACTGGTTGAGCATCAACCCATGCACCAAGAGGTTGCTGATTCAATTCCCGGACAGGACACATACCCATGGTGTGGGCCCAATCTCCAATGGGAAGCGTGCAGGAGGCGGCCAATTGATGTTGTTTCTCATCAATGTTTCTTTCTCTCTTCCCCTCTACCTTCCTCTCTCTCTAAAAATCAATGAAGAAAATACATTTTTTTAAATGTAATAGCTTGAGAGGATTCCAAAATGGTGGCAGAGTGAATGGAAGCTACACAGACCATCTCCCAGGACCAAACTGGAATTACAACCAGAATAAAGACAAATTATTTTAAAAAGGCAACAGAAAAGCAGCTTGTAAGGACCATATAACCAGGGACACTGAACCAATCCTGGTAGAATTTCAGAGGCGCAAGAGGGGGCATGAACAGCAGCGGTCTTAGCTGTGAGCAGTGCCCTTAGGGTTAAACTCCCAAGCAGCTCCACAGCACAGAGCTGGGACTGAGCACTAAGATAGCCACAGCCACTCACCTTGGGCTCCAGCAGAGCGAGGGGAGACTGGACTAGAACTGCGTGAGGACACTCAGGATTTGGAGGGCATTCAGAGCTTTTGCTCAGTTGCAGCCATGCAGGACAGTGGCCATCTTACTTCTTCCTATGACTCTGGTGAGAGGTGGCAGCCCCTCCCTCTGGGATACAACCCCACCCTGTGGACCATTGAAATGCAAATTGAGACCCATTACAACCAGCATCTGCCCCACCCTCAGGAAATTCTCTTATGCTAAACACCAGAGGGAGTTTTTCATTCAACTAAGAACACAAGGCTCTTCAAGTAATCTCTATTAATAGCCTCCAGGCAAAGAACTAGAAGATAACTGAACCATTCCTGAGCTTGCAACTCTACCCAGGAAAGAAAGACTTGACAGTGGTGTTTAACGTGGTTCCTCCCTTGCTCATCCAAACCCAGGAGAGGGAGCCACAAACAGCAGAACACCAACACCACAGGAAAAATTTGGCAGGCTCCAAAACGCACTGAGATAGCCAAAATGGTGGAAAAAAAAACAAATCCCAAATTAAAGAACAACACACCTCCACTGAAGATGAGATAAATGAGGTGCCGTTAAGAAAGTTAACAGAGCTAGAATTCAGAGCCAGGATCTTGAGGAAGCACAACAGCATGTGTAAGGACATCAGCACCATGAGTAAAGACATAGAAACACTGAAAATCAACCAACTGGAAATTAAAAACCAACAAAAAGAAATGAAGAATGACATAGCAGAAATAAAGAACACATTGGAAGGACTAAACAGCAGAGTAGAAGAAGCTGAGGACCAGATCAGTGATTAAAAGACAGGCTAGGAAAAATCAACAATCGGAAAAGCAAAAGGAACAAACAATTAAAAAATAGAAAGACAGCTTAAGAGAATTGTGGAACAACTGGAAACGTAATAATATTTGCATCATAGGACTCCCTGAAGAAGAAGAAAATGAGCAAGGGTTAGAGAATATATTTGAAGAAATAGTGACAGAAAAATTCCCTCATTTGGTGGGGAAAAAAAAAAAAGTCATTCAAGTTCAAGAAGAACAGAAAGCCCCAAGTAAGAAGAACCTAAACAGGACCACACCAAGACACATAGTAATTAAAATGCCAAAAATTAAAGACAAAGAGACAATCCTAAAGGCAGCAAGAGATAAGCAACAGATTACCTACAAAAGAACCCCCATAAGGCTATCAGCTGACTTCTCAACAGAAACACTACAGGCCAGAAGAGAATGGCATGAGGTAATCAAGGTCATGAAAAACAAAGACCTGAATCCAAGACTACCCTACCCAGCAAGACCATCATTCAAAATAGAAGGTCAAGCCCTGGCCAGTTTGGCTCAGCGGTTAGAGCGTCGGCCTGCGGTCTGGAGAGACCCGGGTTCGGTTCCCGCTAAGGGCACGTACTTCGGTTGCAGTTTGTCCCTGGCCCTGGTTGGTCGTGCGGGTGGCAGCCACTCGATGTGTCCCTTCACGTCGATGTTTCTCTCTCTCTCTCCCTTCCTCTTTCTCCCTCCCATTCTATCGGTACAAAAAAAAAAATGAAAAAATGTCCTCGGGTGAGGATAAAAAAAAAAAAACAAAAACAAAAAACAAAACAAAATAGAAGGTCAAATAAAAAGCTTCCCAGACCAAAAAAAAAGAATAAGGGAATACATTAGCACCAAACCAGCACTGCAAGAAATGTTAAAAGGACTGCTGTAAATAGTAGAAGAAATAGGAGGAAAATATAACCACACTAAACAAAAAATGGCAATAAGTAAGTACATATCAATAATCACCTTAAATGTAAATAAATTGAATTCTCCAATAAAAAGACACAGAGTAGCTGATTGGATAAGAAACCATGACTCATATATATGTTGTTTACAAGAGACCCACCTCACAACAAAAGACTCCATAGGTTTAAAGTAAAGGGATAGAAAAAAATCTTCAAAGCAAACAGAAAAGAAAAATAAGTTGGGGTAGCAATACTCATATATGATAAAGTAGATTTCAAAATGAAGGCCATAACTAGAGACAATGAAGACCACTACATAATATTAAAAGAATCTATCAAACAGGAAGATATAACCTTGGTAAACATTAATGCACCCAATATAGGAGCACCAACATATATTAAAAATCTTTCATAGGACTTCAAAGGAGAAATCAATGGCAATAAAATCATAATAGGGGACTTCAACAACCCACTGACATCACTGGATAGATCCTCTAGACAAAAAATAAGCAAGGAAACACAGACTCTAAATGAAGCACTAGACCAAATGGATTTAATAGATATCTACAGAGAATTACAGCCCAAAACTACAGAATTCACATTCTTCTCAAGTGCACATGGGACATGCTTAAAGATAGACCACATGTTAGGACACAAACTAAGTCTCTACAAGTTCAAGAAATCATATCAAGCATCTTCTCAGATCACAATGGCATGAAACTAGAAATCAATTGCAATAAGAACAAGCAAAGACATTGGAACACATGGAGGCTAAATAGCATGTTATTAAACAATGAATGGGTTACCAAGGAGATCCAAAAAGAAATTTAAAAATTCCTGGAAACCAATGAAAATGAACACACAACAACACAAAATTAATGGGATGCAGTGAAAGGAGTTCTGAGAGGGAAGTTCATAGCATTACAGGCCTACCTCAAGAAACAAGAAAAATTTTTTAATACACTATTTAACTTCACAACTTAAAGAACTATAAGCAAACAAAAAGAAAACCCCAGAGTGAGTAGAAAGAAGGAAATAGTAAAGATCAGAGCAGAAATAAATGACATAGAGACCAAAAAAACAATTCAAAGGTCAGTGAAATAAAGAGCTGGTTTTTCCGAGAAGATAAACAAGATTAATGGACCTTTAGCTAGATTCCCCAAGAAACAAAGAGAAATAACCGAAATGCACAAAATCAGAAATGAAAGAGAAGAAGTAATAACTGACACCACAGAAATACAAAAAATTGTTAACAAATACTATGAACAATTATATGGCAACAATTTCGACAATCTAAGCAAAATGGACAAATTTCTAGAAACACATAGTCTCCCAAAACTGAACCGGGAAGAGATAGAAAACTTGAACACACCAATATCAACTAAGGAAATTGAAGATGTAATCAAGACTCTCCCAGCAAACAAAAGCCCAGGCTCAGGCGGCTTCACAGGAGAGTTTTACCAAACATTCAAAGAACTAACACCCATTCTCTTCAAACTATTTCAAAAAATTCAAGAAGAGCGATTTCCAAACTTGTTTTATGAGGCCAGCATAATTCTAACTCCAAAACCAAAAAAAAGACACTACAAGGAAAGAAAACTACAGGCCAATATCCCTGGTAAACATAAAGGCTAAAATCCTTAACAAAATACTAGCAAATTGAATCCAGCAACACATCAAAAAAATTATTCACCATGACCAAGTGGGATTCATCCCAGGGATGCAAGCCTGGTACAATATTCCCAAATCAATAAATGTGATACATTACATAAATAAAAAGAATAATAAAAACCACATGATTATATTAATAGATGCTGAAAAATAATTCGACAAAATCTAGCACCCATTTCTGATAGAAACTCTCAGCAATCTGGGAATAGACGGATCATTATCTTAACATAATAAAGGCCATGTATGAAAGACCTACAGCCAATATCATACTCAATGGACAGAAACTAAAAACATTTCCATTAAGAACAGGAACAAGACAGGGATGTCCACTTTCGCCACTCTTATTTAACATTGTACTGGAAGTCTTAGCCACAGCAATCAGACATGAAGAAAAAATAAAAGGGATCCAAATTGGAAAGGAGGAAGTGAAACTGTCATTATTTGCAGATGACATGATATTATACATAGAAAACCCTAAAGACTCCATCAAAAATCTACTAGACTTAATAAATGAATTTGGCAAAGTAGCAGGATACAAAATTAACGTCAAGAAATCGACAGCATTCTTGTACACCAATGATGAACTCACAGAAAGAGAAATTGAAAAAACAATCCCATTTACCATCGCGCCAAAAAAATTACGATACCTAGGAATAAACTTAACCAAAGAAGTAAAGGACCTATTTGCAGAAAACTACAGGTCATTGAAAAAAGAAATAGAGGAAGGTATAAAAAGTGGAAGCACATACCCTGTTCATGGATTGGATGAATTAACATCATTAAAATGTCCATACTACCCAAAGCAATCTATAGATTCAATGCAATCCCCATCAAAATACCAACGACATATTTCATAGAACTAGAACAAATACTTCAAAAGTTCATATGGAACCAAAAAAGACCCCAAATAGCCACAGCAATCTTGAAAAAAAAGAACAAAGCAGGTGGGATCACAATACCAGATATCAGGTTATACTACAAAGCGACTGTAACCAAAACAGCCTGGTACTGGCACAAGAACAGGTATATAGACCAGTGGAACAGAACAGAAAAACCAGAAATGCACCCAAGGTAATATGGTCAATTTATATTTGACAAAGTTGGCAAGAGCATGCAGTGGAGTAAAGACAGCCTCTTTAATAAATGGTGTTGGGAAAATTGGACAGCTACATGCAAAAAAATGAAACTAGACCATCAACTTACACCATACACAAAAGTAAACTCAAAATGGATAAAAGACTTAAACGTGACCCGTGAATCCATAAAAATTCTAGAAGAAAATGTTGGCAACAAAATTTCGGACATCATACGGAGCAGAATTTTCACTGATACATCACCTAAGGCAACAGAAATAAAAGAGAAAATGAACACATGGGACTACATCAAACTAAAAATCTTCTGCACAGCAAAAGAAACAATCATCAAAATGGAAAAGCAACCCACTGTATGGGAGAACATCATTACCAATGATGTATCAGATAAGGGGTTAATATCCAATATATAGAGAGTGCTCATACAACTCAACAAAAAGAAGACAAAGAACCCAATTAAAAACTGGGCAGAGGAGCTGAATAGACACCTCTCCAAACAGGACATACAAATGGCCAAAAGACATATGAAGAAATGCTCAACATCACTAATCATCAGAGAGATGCAAATTAAAACAACAATGAGGTATCACCTCACACCTGTCAGAATGGCCGCCATCAACAAATCATCAAACAACAAGTGTTGGCGAGGGTGTGGAGAAAAGGGGACTCTAATACACTGCTGGTGGGAATGCAGACTGGTGCAGCCGCTATGGAAAACAATATGGTGCTACCTCAAAAAATTAAAAATTGAACTTCCATTTGACCCAGTGATCCCACTGCTGGGAATATACCCTAAGAAGCCTGAAAGACCAATCAGGAAGAATATATGTACCCCCATGTTCATAGCAGCACTATTTATAATAGCTAAGATCTGGAAACAGCCCAAGTGTCTACCAGTAGACGAATGGATCAAAAAGCTGTGGTACATAAACACAATGGAGTACTATGCAGCGGTAAGAAAGAAAGATCTCTTATCCTTTGAGACGACATGGAGGGACCTGGAAAGTATTATCCTAAGTGAAGGAAGCCAAGCAGAAAAAGACAAATGCCACATGATCTCACTTATATACAGAATATAATGAACATAACAGTCTGAGGCATACAGTAGACCCAGAAACATGGAAGTAGGGCACAGACTGACATCCCTCAGAAGATGGGATGGGGGGTTGGGGGGGTGGGAAGAGATAAACCACAGAACTTATATGCATGTATGCATGACCAATGGACATGGACAACTAAGCCGGGGACGGGGTGGAGGTGGGGTGGGGTGGGGGGTGCCAATGGGGTAAAAAGGTAAAATATCTGTAACAAAAAAATAAATATAAATTCATAGAATAAATAAATAAATAAATAAGTTTTTTAAAAATTAACAAAAAATAAATAAATAAAATACCTTGAGAGAAAGACTTTGGGTATAGAAAGAGTAAAGCTTTCTTCTAATGTGTGTGATGAGGAGCCTTCAACCTGAAATAAAAATCTATAGGAAATGCCTGGATGTTTATTTCCAGGGTTTATGCAGGGCATGCAGAAAGTCTTAGAGGACATAACATAAGGAGCTCTTCACTCCAAAAGAACACAATCAGACCATCCACTTTTGCTCAACTGCTACTATTTCTAGAGATTTATCCAGAGTCACCATCTTTGACATTATCATGATATGGACACCAACAGGGACACCAGAAGTTTATCTGTTTGGTCATACTTATTCATTTGCTTTTCTGTAATGAATATATAAAACTTATAACAATCTACTGTATTTGAAAACACAGTGGCTTTTTTTTTTTATCCTCACCCGAGGACATTTTTCCATTTTTTGTTCAGGTAGAGTGGGAGGGAGAGAGAGGAACAGAGAGAGAGAAAGAATGACATCGACATGAAAGGGACACATCAAGTGGTTGCCACCTGCACAACCCAACCAGGGCTGGGGACAAACTGCAACTGAGGCACGTGCCCTTAGCAGGAACCAAACCCGGGTCTCTCAGGACCGCAGGCCAATGCTCTAATGGCTGAGCCAAACCAGCCAGAGCCACAGTGGCTTTTTAAAATAGCATTCTTACCTCATCTGCTATTTGACTATAGAAATCCCTCACTTGATTTTCAGTGAGCACTCTCTTATCTTCTGCTTGTATGACAAATCCTGCACTGATAATCTTCAATGAAAGAGTAAGGTCAGATCCAGAGGTTATGGGACCACATGCAAAACAATCAAGGACATTTGTATCCTAGGCATACCACACCACCCAGATGTTAATGTATTTTATGTAAAGACCTCAACACTAGATTTGAGGAGGCTCAAAAAATATATAGACAAAGAAGGCCCTTGTCATGCCCCTTAGTAGTTAAGTTTCCAAGGCTTAAATCAGAGACACCACAACATTTATATTATTTAAATTAATTGTCTCAAAATGTGAAAAACTAACTGAATTCCAAGAAAAGATATCATAGCTTTCTGAATCACTCATAAAGACATAAATTTATGAGCATTTCTTAGCCATCTGTTTTCAAAATTGTTTTAAATTTTTTAAGGCTTTACTTTGCTAAGGTTATAACTCATAATCTATTATATTTTATTATTTTCGCAGCAAAAATATGCCAATTATCAGTAAGAACAGAATTTAGGATTTAGCCATGCTTTACTTATCTTAAAGAACATTTAATAATTTAATGACAAATTCAGTTTGCATATCACTTAAGTAAAATAAAATGTAGCAAAGAGAAGTTTTGAGGCTAACATAACAAACCCAATGAGGTACTAAACAATCAAATATAAGTGTAACCCGGGTTCAAAGCAAATTAGTAATTATATTAAATGACACCAATAATTTGACCTCAATTGATTTGGGAGTGCCCAGCACTTAACCCCTTTGCTTCTATTATTAAAGCAAGCCCTGACCTGGTTCCATGGGCTTGTTTGATATTGCAGAGCTGTACTTACATCTTAGTGATCCCTCTCCTAACATTCCAATTTGAAAAATTTCTAAATACTCAAATCATGTCTGTTAAGTTACTAAGTGCCTGACAAAAGAAAATAAAATCCAAACAACATTTAAACTTGATAATTTCTCTTTTACTATGGTTGAAAAATACAGCGTGTACATTTTCTCTTTATTCAAAAAATTTATAAGTTTTTTTTTCTGCGCTGTTTGTTATGTAGCTTTTTTTTTTTTTACTGTATTCCAGAGAGGTGAGGTATTTAGTAGATATTCACAATTTACATTTCTGAAATGTTTAGTATGTCAAAATAAAAATTTCAGATGAACTGATGATTAATAGTATTGCCTCAATTAAAGAACTACATAATTTTGAAAATCTTCACTATTGTAGCTGTTAAAACATAATAGAATAAGAAACATCAAGCCATTGGTACATTATTTTTGAAAACTTTATAAAATATAAGCAATATATGGGGGACAGGGGTACAATCTGGTGTTCCCCGTCCCACATACACCCCAATCTGGGGATAAAAAGGGCTATACATAGAGAATGCTATTAATAAAATCAACTCATAGTTGGAAGAGAGAATATATGTACCATGCCCCATGGACCATCTACATTTTTGTAGTTTAATCAATGATAATGCTACTATAGTTAAAGAGAGAATGTATGATGAAAAGTTCACCAAGAGATATACAAGTCCTCCTAACACAGCTCCCTATGTGATCTCTACTGCACATGCAACATTCATTCAAAGTTCAATATAATTTTGTTGTTTCAACACAAAGTCTTGTTCAGGGGTCAGCAAACTATAGCCTGTAGCCAAAACCTGGCCCACTGCCTATTTCTGGAAAAAAAGTTTATTGAAACATGGTCACACCCATTTGTTTACATAGTGTCTGCTGGTACTTTTTCCACATGATCACAAAGTTGTGACGGAGATCATATACCCCACCTACCTGAAAATAGAATGGCCCTTTATAGAAAATGTCTGCTGACCTTGGGATTAGAATGCAATTTTCCTCAAAAAAAATTATTTTTTGCTCTAAAGTAAAATATTGAATGCATTCTTAAATTATCATGTATCTAAAAAGGATCATACATTTATGACAACATACAGAGAATAAAGCAAGTTAATATGAGCTTATAGCAACTTTGCAATGCTAATTACTCAGCATGAAAAAATATTTGCCACAATGCAATATATGAACCGAGTTATTTAAACAAGGATGCCTGAATGGATCTAGCCTTTGTAAAGACAAAACGTTCAAAGCCATTAGAGGCACCAGAAGTTTATTATGTTCTATTTCACTCTAAATGATAAGCTTATCTCTAAATTGACAATTAAAAAGTTGTTATTGTTAAATTAATTTAAACTATTATTGCAAAATATTACTTACCTTTTCTTTAATTTTTATAGTTTTCCCAGTAATCACAGCCTCTGGTTTAATAATAGCAATACTGTATAGTTGGTCTGGAAAAAAGTAAATAGAAGAATTTCATTTTCTTGGCATAAAATCTAGATAATTAAGGTTTTGGTAATTAAAAATATAAACTTCTAATGTCCAGTGAATTTTTGTACATTGACAGCTTTGTTTTTACTATAGCATTTCAACTACCAAAGAGTTTCTATCTGGAATTAAAGTGTACTTCCTACATTTGCATACAAGAGAAACATTCACAAGAGTTTGTAGTCAATCATCAAATAAGAAAAAAAACCAGTAGGTGGGCACTGGTTATTTTAATAAAATTCACATAAATTAGAATCACACCCCTGATCCATTCAGCTTGGTATTATCAGTGAGTGGAGTTTCAAATGCATGTAAACATTACAATCTAGGCCAAGAGACATATGAAGAAATGCTCAACATCACTAATCATCAGAGAGATGCAAATTAAAACAACAATGAGGTATCACCTCACACCTGTCAGAATGGCCGCCATCAACAAATCATCAAGCAAGTGTTGGTGAGGGTGTGGAGAAAAGGGGTCTCTAGTGCACTGCTGGTGGGAATGCAGACTGGTGCAGCCACTATGGAAAACAATATGGTGTTACCTCAAAAAATTAAAAATTGAACTTCCGTTTGACCCAGTGATCCTGCTTCTAGGAATATACCCTAAGAAGCCTGAAACACCAATCAGAAAGAATAGATGTACCCCCATGTTCATAGAAGCACTATTTATAATAGCTAAGATCTGGAAACAGCCCAAGTGTCCATCAGTAGACGAATGGATCAAAAAGCAGTGGTACATATACACAATGGAGAAAGCAGCTGTAAGAAAGAAAGATCTCTTGTCCTTTGAGACGACATGGAGGGACCTGGAAAGTATTATCCTAAGTGAAACAAGCCAAGCAGAAAAAGACAAATACCACGTGATCTCACTTATATATGGAATATACTGAATATAACAGTCTGAGGAATAGGTAGACCCAGAGATGTGAAAGTAGGGTACAGACTGACAACCCTCAGAAGAGGAGTTCGGGGGAGAGATAAACCACAGAACTTATATGCATGTATGCATAACCAATGGACATGGACAACAAAGCCGGGGATGGGGCGGGGGGGGATGGAAAGGAGGGTGTCAATGGGGTAAAAAAGGAGAAATATCTGTAACAAAAATTAAATTAAAAAAAAAACATTACAATTTAATTCAGTTACCATTATGGATTTATCCACATTTATCTACACATTCTTAGATGTGTTTGCCTCTACTTCTTCTGAGGACAAATGCACACTCACAGACCCACACAGACAATCCAGTGAAGGCAGGAATTTATTAACTGTAAAGTAAACTGGGAGTGTAGGTCATCAAGATAGAGATTATTTTCACAAATTGAAGGATGTAATAAGAGGAAGCTGCTGTCCAGATTAGTTAGCTCTGGTTTTGCCTGGGTAACCTCTGAAAGGCTCTAGACATAGAGACCTAAGAAGAGGGAAGGGGAGCAAAAGAGGTTTCTTTTTAATAGCTGATGATAGTATTGCACAAATCATTATTTATCCTACCAGATTTTTTATCAATTAATACTAATGTCATTACCAGCTCTTTGCTGCTTTAAGTGATGCTATAATGAGCATCCATATATACAAATCCCTTGCCATTACTTTAACTTTTCTTACCAACATTTTCATTGAATGCTTCCCCAGCATCTTCTGTATCTGAGTCTACAAATGTAATTTCATGATACTATGGGAGAAAAATGCAAATAAAACAGTTATATTTTAATTTGATAGTGAGTGTTTAGAAATTTTATTTCTAATAAATATTTATAATCCAAGGTAAATGGAAATGTGCCGGCATTTATCTAACACTACTTTTCCACTACAATAAAATAAAGAATATTTTGAAAAGTTGGGGTAGGGGAACTATCAGAAATAATACATATATGCTATATAGAAATGTTTTATTTATGTATGTATGTATGTATTTATTTATTACCCGAGGTTTTTTTATTTTATTTTTTCATTTATCTTCAGATAGAGTGGAAAGGAGGGAGGGAGACAGAGAGAGAGAGAAAAACATAAATGAGAGAGAGACACATTAACTAGTTGTCTCCCCCATGACCCTGACCAGAGCCAGGGACTGAACTGCAATCGAGGTACATGCCTTGACCAGAATCAAACCTGCGACTCCTTGGTCCACAGGCCGACTTTCTCACTGCTGAGCCAAACCAACCAGGGACAGAAAAGGTTTTTAGAAAAAACTTTAAAGTTGAAGAAGCACACAAGGAATAAAATAAGTAGCATAGGCTAATAAGAAAACAATAAATATATGATTATCATGTTAAAATATCAAAGGGCTTTTACTAAGTTTCAGAGCCATTCCTGACCATTAGTATTAGTGAATTAGAAACAGAAAGATACCACCTTAACTTTAAAAATATATGTTGCTGCCCTGGCCGGTTTGGCTCAGCAGTTAGAGCGTCAGCCTGCGGTACAGAGAGACCCGGGTACAGTTCCCACAAAGGACATGTACCTCGGTTGCAGTTTGTCCCCGGCCCTGGTTGGGTCGTGTGGGTGGCAGCCACTCGATGTGTACTTTTCACGTCGATGTTTCTCTCTCTCTCTCCTTTCAGCTCTCTCCCTCCCACTCTATCTGAACAAAAACTGAAAACATGTCCTCGGGTGATGATTAAAAAAAACATATATATATATGTTGCTCAAAATAATAGCCCATTTCCTAGTATAGAATAAAATACTAGAAAGGATGGGAGGCCAGGATTGAAAGTGCTCTTGTGATTCTATATATATTTATATATTTACAAATAAACATTCTTTTGACAAGAAAATGAATTACTTCAGATTCTCAATGGAATACTCAAAAATATTTGGATGTAATCATACTGGAAGCATTTACCTTTATTAAAATCAGGAATAAGGCAATTATGCCATATATAACTTCAAAACTGATCTGCTTTACATTTTTGGACTTGTGTTGGCCAATAGGGTAGCCACCACTTAAGCCTATTTGAACACTTGAAATAAGTTTAGTCCAAATGAAGATGTACTGTAAATAAAAAACACACAACATATCCCAAAGATTTAGTGTAAAAAAGTGAAGGTAGTATATCTTTTTTTTTATATTAACTATATCTTTAAAAAGAATCTTTTGAATATGCTGGATTAAATAAAAGATTTTAAAATTTAATTTCACCTGGTTTTTATTGTTTCTAATGTGACTAGTAAAATATTTTAAATGATGTATGTGGCTCACATTGTGGTTTATATTTTATTACTATCAGACAAGGCTGTGCTAGAAAAGGCAATAAAACAACAAAGGTAAATAACAGACGTGTCCAACAAAATTAAATAATATAAAATAAATGTGATATTAATAAATTACTTATATACCCATTTTTATTAATTGAAACACGATGTTGTTCTGTAAGAGGGGCTGTAGCCTGCAGGACAGGCTCTTAGTCTGACACACGTGTAGGGACTAACTGAAATCTTCTCCATAAACCAGGGAGGCTGGCAAGCACCATCTTTGCATTCTCCCTCTTTTCTGTTCCAGGTCCCTGATGTTCACATAAAGATAGATTGAGTGCACATCTGGTATGTTGGCTTTTGTGGTTGCTTCCCAGAGGACACATCCTTTGATAGACTGGCTCTGGCAGCCAACAGGGCTGGTGTTGGTTGGTTCAGCAGAATCAGCAATGGATAAACCACCCAGACAGAAAATCAATAAGGAAACACTAGGTTTAAACATGTTATACGAGATTGACTTAACAGATATTTACAGAACATTGCATCCAAAAGCAACAGAATACTTATTCTTCTCAAGTACACATGATATATCCCTTAGGATAGATCATACGTTAGGTCACAAAACAAGTCTCAGTAGATGTAAGTAGATGGAAATCATATCAAGCATCTTTCTGACCATAATAATATGAAACTAGAAATCAACTACAAAAAGAATTTTAAAAATTCATAAATATATGAAGATTAAACAAAATACTACTGAACAACCAATGGGTCAAAGAAGAAATCAAACACAAATCTCAAAACTCGTTGAGGCCAATAAAAATGGAAATACAACATATGAAAACTTAAGGAATGCAACAAAAGAATTCTAAGAGGAGAGTTTATAGCAATAAACTGCCTACATTTTTTAAAAATCTCAAATAAACAATCTAACTTTATACTTCAAGAAACTAGAACAAGAAGAATAAATGAAGCCAAAGTTAGTACATGAAAGAAATAATAATAAGGGCAGAAATAAATAAAATAGAAACTAAAAATGCAACAGAAAAAAAATCATTGAAACTAAATGCTGTTTTTAAAAAAAGAAAAGAAAACGAATAAACCATTTGGCTAGATTCTAAAGGAAAAAAGAGAACTCGAATAAATAAAATTAGAAACAAAATGGTAGACATTACAACTGACACCACAGAAATACAAAGAATTTTAAGAGACTGCTTTGACCAACTATTAGATCACTATCTTGAAAAGTTATCTGCCCTCCCATATTTATTACAGCATTAAAGTTGACCCTTAAACAATATGGGTTTGAACCGTGTGGGTACTTATGGGCAGATTTTTTTTTTTTTAATAAAGATGCAGTTGGCCACCCATATCCCTGAATTTCACATTCAAACCCAAATCTAAAGAAGTACTTTCAAACCACAGTTGGGAATCCATGGAAGTAGAGGAACTACTGTATGCATTGTTTTATGTCATTTTATATAAGGGATTTGAGCATCAGTAGATTTTGGTATCTGCAGGTTATCCTAGAACCAATTCCACTTAGATACTGAGGAAGGATTGAGTTTGGGAGGGGTTAAAAGTTATATGGTGGGCCCGAATGGTTTGGCTCAGCAGTTAGAGCATTGGCCTGTGGACTGAAGGGTTATGAGTTCAATTCCTGGTCAAGGGCATGTACCTGGGCTGCAGGTTGATCCTTGGCCTCAGTCAGGGTTGTACAGAGAGACTACCAATTAATGTGTCTCTCTCACATTGATGTTTTTCTCTCTCTCTCTTTCCCCACATCCCTTCCACTCTATCTAAAAATTAATGGAAAAACATCCTCTGGTGAGGATTAACAACAACAACAGAAAGGTTATATAGTGATTTTTGACTGTGCAAGGGCCAGTTTCTCTAACCCCCATGTTACTCAAGGCTCAATTGTATTTACAATAGTCAAGATATGAGAACAAGCTAAGTGTCCACAAATGGATGAATAAAGAAAATGTGGTATATAGATACAATTAAATATTATTCATCCATTTTAAAAAAAAAAAAAAAAGGAAATTTTACCATTTTTGACAACATGGATGGACCTTGAGGGCATTATGCTAAGTAAAATAATTCAGAGAAATACAAATACTGTATGATCTCACTTATATGTAGAATCTTCAAAAACTGAAGTCAGATACAGAGAACAGAAAAATAGTTGCCAGGAGTGGAGGGTACGGAGTTGGGGAATTTGGCAAAGGTGGTCAAAAGGTAAAAACTTGCAGTTATAAGTAAGTTCTGGGGTATAATATACAGCATGGTGACTATAATTAATACTATATTGTATATTTGAAAATTGCTAAGAGAGATATTAAAAGTTCTTATCACAAGAAAAAAATGTAATCATGTGAGATGACAGATGTTAACTAACCTTAGTGTGATAATCATTTTGCAGGATATACACGTATCAAATCATTATGTTGTACATCTTAAACCTATACAATGTCATTTGTCAATTATATCTCAACAAAACTAGAGGTGAAAAGATTTCTGTAAGGATTAAATGAGGAGATCTGTTTGCAAATCTTAATAAACAGTAAGTCCTCAATAATTCGTAGTAATCATAATTTTTAAAAAGAAGTGGTGGGAATGGGGAGGGAGGGAGAAAGAGAGAGAGAGAGAAAAGAGAGAAGATTCCATGAAAAAGTGAAGAAAAATATCGTTGGATAAGAAAAATCACTATGATAAATGTAAATTCTTTACATTTGTCATTTGTCAGTTGTCCATCAAAATGTTACTTTTTCTTAATGCTCTTAATAAAATACTTTGTACACAACTATCACTATTAGCACAATGACACATAGTGCAAGCATATTTCCCAGTTTACTGCCTTCCTTTTACATTTTAAAGTGCACTTCAAAGTTTTAAATGATCAAATCTATCAAATTTTCTTTTTTTTTTTATATCTGTTTTATGTAATATGATCTACTTACTGTTGCTAGCATTTGGGTTAATACCAATTGGTTTTTTTAATTTAAACTTTTATTGCTGACAATACTGCAGATGTCTTCCATCTCCCTCCATTTGCCCATGACCATCCAGCCCATGCCTGCCCTCCTTGGCCTGGAGAATATTATTGCCTGTGTCTATGGGTTAGGCATATATATGTTCTTTACCTAATCTCTTCACCTTCTTTTATTCAGGCCACCCCTCTGACATTTGTCAGTCTATTCCATGAATCCATGCTCTGGTACTATTTTGTTCATCAGTTTAATTTGTTCAATAGATTCCACGTATTAGTGAGATCACATGGTATTTGTCTTTCTCTGACTGGTTTATTTCACTTATCATAATAATCTCCAGGTCCATATGTGCTGTCACAAAGGATAAAAGTTCCTTCTTTTTTACAGCTGCATAGTATTCAATTTCATAAATGTATCACAGCTTTCTTATCCACTCATCTTCTGATGAGCACTTGAGCTATTTCCAGATCTTAGCTATTGAAAATAA